GCTGAGTCCTGAAGGGTACGAGGGTGACCTGGAGTTCGAGAGCTGCGAGGAGCCTACAGCCATACTATGTAGGGCCAGTTGGTGAGATCAGTAGGGCCCTGTCAGGCTGGGCCCAAGTACCCACACAAGAACATGAGCCTGGCACTGGGGGGCCCGGAAGGAGCTGGCCTTATGGAATGTGAGCCGCCACCGGGTTGGAGAGGATGTGGGGAAAGGCTGGGTGTGTTCAGCTGTTGGCAATTTCACGCCCCCTCCTCAGCCACTTCTTGGGGACAGGCCCCAGCCGTGGGGCCCAGGTGCCGACAAAGGTCAGATTTCTATAGCAAGAGAATACAAGGAGATTTCCTCCAGAGGAGAGCCCTCTCCCCTCAGAGAGAACTGCAGCTGCCTCAAACACATACTCTGGGATTAGGCTAAATCCTATAGCAGGTGGAGGAGTGGGAGGAGAGACTCCCAGTTAGGGAGCCGGAGTGTGGGAAGGGGTGGGCAGTGGCCAGCCTAGGTGCACACCTGAGTGTGTCTGTACCTGGGAATGGGTCTCTTTATTTTCTTCAGCACTATACTGTGCCTTAGTTCTGCCAGGCGAGGCCCTGGATTTCGGGGGCAGGAACAGTAACTGATAAATTAGATCAAGGGCTATACAAGCAGAAAGAGGGGAGGGAGCATGCAAGAAGACTTAGAAAAATGGGGGCAGTTTCCCCTGGGGAGCAGAGAGAGTGGGTACAAGGGGTTGTTTTTTATTGAAAATCTTTTGTGCCATTGGAATTTTGGTTTAAATTGTTTAAACTGTGGGGGCACCTGGGTGGCTCAGTTGTTAAGCGTCTGCCTTCGGCTCAGGTCATGATCCCAGGGTCCTGGGATTGAGCCCGCATCAGGCTCCCTGCTCAGCAGGAAGCCTGCTTCTCCGTCTCCCACTCCCCCTGTTTGTGTTCCCTCTTTCGCTGTGTCTCTCTCTGTCAAATAAATAAATAAAATCTTAAAAAAAAATGTGTTTAAACTGTGAATGCCTCTTTAAAACCAGGGTTTTCCAGGGGCATCTGGCTGGCTTAGTTGGTAGAACATGTGACTCTTGATCTCGGAGTTGTGAATTCGAGCCCATGTTGGATGTAGAGATTACTTAAAAAAATAAAAATCTTTATTTTTATTTTTTTAAGATTTTACTCTAGGGACGCCTGGGTGGCTCAGATGTTAGGCGTCTGCCTTTGGCTCAGGTCACGATCCCAGGGTCCTGGGATCGAGCCCCTCATCAGGCTCCCTTCTCCGCGGGAAGCCTGCTTCTCCCTCTCCCACTCCCCCTGCTTGCGTTCTCTCTCTAGCTGTCTCTCTCTCTGTCAAATAAATAAAAATTAAAAAAAAAATCTAAAAAAAAATTTAAAAAAAGATTTTACTCTATCCATTTGATAGAGAGTGAGAGAGAAAGAGAGAGAGCATAAGCAGGGGGAGCAGCAGGTAGAGGAAGAGGAAGAAGCAGGCTCCCCACTGAGCAGGGAACCCAACGTGCGGCTCGATCCCAGGGCCCCAGGATCACGACTCGAGCTGAAGGCAGACGCCCAACCAACTGAGACACCCAGGTGCCCCAATAAAAATCTTTTAAAAAATTTTTAAAAAAGGGGCGCCTGGATGGCTCTCTCAATTAAGCGTCCACTCTTGATCTCAGCTCAGGTCTTGATCTCAGGATTGTGAGTTCAAGCCCTGCGTTGGGCTCCACACTGGGCGTGGAGCCTACTTAAAAAAATAAATAAGTAAAATAGGAGCGCCTGGGTGGCTCAGTCAGTTTGTTGTCCAGCTCTTGGTTTCGGCTCAGGTTGTGATCCCAGGGTCCTGGGATTGAGCCCGCATCAGGCTCCCTGCTCACGCTCAAGGTGGAGTCTACTTGAGATTCTCCCTCTCTCTCTCCTTTCCCCTGTGCCCCTCTCCCTGGTCACATGCACGCTCTCTCTCTCTCTCTCAAATAAATAAATAAATAAATAAATAAATAAATAAATAAATAAAATCTTAAACAAAAAAAAAATTAAATAAATAGTAATAAATAAAACCATGGTTTCCAGACCAGCAGCATCTGCATCCCCTGAGAACTTTGTTAGAAATGCAAATTTCCAGGCTTCACCTCAAACCTACTAAATACAAACTTCTGGGATGGAGCCTCGCAATCCAAGCTTTCCAGTGATTCTGATATATGTTCAAGTTTCAGAACTACTGATTAAAAAACTATCAAAGCAGTGTTTGCTTCCTGGTGTTCAGTTTTGGGGAAAGAGACTATTGAGAGCATCTCCTCTCTAGCCTCTGAACAGGGGGGCTCAGCAGGAAGAGGAGGCCTCTTGGAGAAATGAGGTTTGAGTGAGATCTACAGGGTGAGTAGGGTTAGGCCAGGTGACAGTGGGGAAGAGTGTCCCCCAAGAAGCCTGTTCCCTGGGGAAGCAGCCCATGTGAGGTAGCAGGGTTGAAGGCCATAGGGCTGGAGTTCTGTGCTTGGGCGTTGTGAATGTTCATCCACCCCGGTACATGGACATTCTATCAGCCAATGTCTCCTGCTTCATGCAAACCCAGAAGCTTTCCTGGTTCTCAGAACACTGGGCAGTCGGGGCTGTGGGAATGAGTTCTGCACTAGGACAGAGCACTTGGTCCAGAGCACCCAGTCTCCCACTTGCCCCCATGTAACCTTGGGCCAGTCACTTCTTTCTTCTGAGCCTCGGTATCCTCATCTGGGCAACAGGAACAAAAGTGCTTTCCAGGGGCTCCTGGGTGGCTCAGTTGGTTAAGCGACTGCCTTCGGCTCAGGTCATGATCCTGGAGTCCCTGGATCGAGTCCCGCATCGGGCTCCCTGCTCGGCAGGGAGTCTGCTTCTCCCTCTGACCCTCCCCCCTCTCATGTGCTCTCTCTCATTCTCTCTCACAAATAAATAAATAAAATCTTAAAAAAAAAAAAAAGTGCTTTCCAGGAAGGGCTGCCATGAGGAGGGAATGAGATCATGACAACCCGGCCCTGGAGGCCATTCCCTCCTAATCCCTGAGCAACAACAGCCATTGTGGACTGAGCACTTCCAACCATATTCTGAGACATGTCATCATTCCTGTGTTTCAGGCTCAGAGAGGGTAGCTTCAGTCATAGCATCTCCCCCGACCCCCCCCCCCCCCACACACACATTGTGGACAACCTGACCTTCCCTCCCAGGTGCCAATTCCCTCCCAGCATCCTCCTGTTCCCTGACTTGCACTTTCCAGATTGGGGCCGCTATCTATCTGTTGCTCCCACCAGAGCCCTGACTAATACACACACAGCCAGTGAGTGGCCGAGTCCGGAGGTGACCCAGGGCTTTTCTGCAAGCTCCCAAGGCCAGTATCACTGGCTAGGAGGCCACTCAGAACTCTGGCAGACTGAGGGGACCAGGCTCCAGATGCTGCCATGCCCTTCAGAGAGGCTTGGGGGAGGAGGGATGGAGCAGGAAAGCTTGCACAGGGAATTAGCAGCATCTGTCTCATTCTGACTTGGGACGTCAGGAATGTGGCAAGCGTGTGCCTGCCAGGGATGCTGGCAGGGAGGGGGCACAGGGTGGGTAGCTGAGCTCCTCCTGGCCCCTGAGACCTACCAGGCACCATCTGCCCCTGTCACTCTGAGTGACCTGACTCTGGTCTCCAATTTGCACAGGACCTGCCAGGAACCTGGACTTGGGGGAACTGGGTGGGGGGTCAACTCAGCTCCTTCCTTAGTCCCCCATCCTTGTGACTTTGGGCCTGTCACATCCCATTTCTCCGTCATTAAATTGGGAAGACTGATCTTTGTTCTGGTGAGGCTGTGGTGAGACACAGTAGTGGGTGGCCGAGCCTAGCTCAGCTGTGGGCTCACAGTGGGCAAGTGGAAAAACGGGAGTTCTCATTCGTCACCCCCTATCTTTATACACTACTCTAGCCTCCCAACCCTTTCCTCCCCCAGATGGATTCTTAGGGACCTGCCTGTCCTGTGATTGACTGGGCTGGGCACAGTGACCTCCAGTGGGAGACTAGGTTTGGGAGGGGGGCTCAGTCAGAAGGAGAGTGCATAGGTGGGGGTGCGAAGAGACCCAGAGCAAGAAGAGAAGCATGGCCATGAGCTGCTGCTCAGTCTGCCAGGACAGCCCAGCCTCAGATTCTTAGATCCAGGCCCTTCTGACCCTATATGTATTTTCAGCTGCCACCCCCTGGGAGGCCATGGGGCAATCCAGGTGGCCCTCACAAAGGGTCTGTCCTGTCCCAGGGAAGGACAGGGCAGGAGGGAGCACCAGGCGCTGGGTCAGGTACCTCCACCCTATGGTTCAGGGGCTGGAGAGCAGCGGTAACTGCCTGGATGGCCCCCAGGGAAGGTTCCAGGCTCAGAGCCCTGGGAAGCTGATCTCCCTGCTCCCCCCAGAGGGTGTTGCGGGGAACGGGGCCATGGCGGCATCTCCAACGGAGGACCAGGCAGGCAGGGACAGCTGCAGCCTAGCCGGGCGGCAACCAGCTGCTGCCCGGGAGACTGGCCAGGGTGGGGCGGGGCGGGCACAGCCCCCACAAGCCCCCAGTCTGAGCAGCAGAGCGTGGGAGCGGGCAGCAGCCTCGAAGCTGGGTTTCAGGCTTTCACGCTGTGTTAACGGTCAGCTTGGTTAATGCTGAGCAGATGGGGGAGGGGTGCTGCCAGCTCCCTTGGGGACAGTCCCAGGGCAGGCACATGTACACGCATGTGCAGAGGGTACAAGAGTTCCACCCAGCGGATAGGGGTGCCGTGTGGACTCCTCTGCCATTAGCGCTCATTCAGACCATCACGTACACAAGATGGTGCTGGTAAGACAGACCAAGACAGAGGTGCACACAGGTTCCTGGGGGCGCCCTGGGGTAGCTGCAGATGGATGTAAGCCCGAGGCCCGGCACAGAGCCCTCCATATGGATCACTCAGGCAAAACTCCCAGCTTGGGGATCCCTCCACCCTGTTTCCCTCCATCCACTGTAGGGAAGACACCAGGAACACAGAGGTTTATTTCAAAAAATAATTTATAAAAGGGCATTTGCTTCTGTGTTTTCGGCAGACTTCCAGCTTCTCAGCTAGGAGCACAGGGACCGATGCTCTTTCCACCAAGATGCTGGGACAAGCGGCAAAGGGGAGACCAGAGGAAATGGGGTTCAGAGGCCCAAGACCTCCCTTGGTACAAGGAAGCAAGGAGGTTTAGGACAGTTCTACAGCTAGGTCCAGCCAAACCCCTGGATCAAGGACTGAGTGCCAAGGCCCAGGAGGCCAGGCAGAACCCTAACACTCAGGCCATCAGAACACTGGAGCCATGACTGCAAAGGCAAGGACAGGGCCTTAAGACTGGGGCTGCAGCCTGGCCTGGGAATCCGAGGCCAGAGCAGGAAGCCTCATCTAGGGACCTCAGGAACAAGAATGGACCTCCCCAAAGCAGAACTAGAGGTCTGGGACAGTACCCTGAAGTTGGGGCCTGAGGTTGCAGAAGTCAAGCGCTGCCAGGTTGCAGCTAAGCCGGGGAGGCTGAAGGCCGCTGGCCCGCCTGGCTACCCAACCTTGTGCCCCAGCTCATGTCTGCGCCTCAGGGAAGGAGAAGGCGCGGGGCCCTAGGGGCAGGGGGTCGTGGCAGAAGACAGAGTCGATGGAGGAGCAGATGCTGCTGGCATCCCCACCAGCAGGGGCGTAAGGTCCAAAGGTCAGGCGGAGGTCTAGGTACTATGGGGAACAGCGCTGGTCAGTCTGGGTGGTCAGCTGGGATGAGGGCCCGAGGGGAGCGGGCAGAGAGGGCTCACGGGACAAGAGGGGAGCCGTACCTCCTCGGAGACGGCCAGCAGGACCTTGTCCAGTGCCTCCACCAGCTGCTTGAAAGTAGGCCTCTGAGAGGGCGCCGCGTGCCAGCACTCCCGCATCAGCCCGTACCTGGCAGGGGCGGAGGCCGTGTGTCAGGGCCAGGCTTTCATGGGGGGCAGGTAGGGCCACTCAGCGGGAGGGCCCGGACACGAGGCTAGGACCTCCCCTTGGGGCTGAGGAGGGGATGGCGACAGTGAATTAGGAGGCTGGGCCCTAAGGCCAAGGCCAAAGCAGAGGATAAGGACTGTAAAGTGGGAGAGAGGGGTGTGAGGCCTCACAGCTCTGGGGGACAGTTCGGGGGCCGGTCCATCCGATGGCCCTCCCGCAGCAGTGAGAACAGCTCCTCCACAGGAATGCCGGGGTACGGGGAGCCCCCGAGGGTGAAGATCTCCCACAGCAGGATCCCAAACGACCACCTAGAGGCAGGACCAGTGCTCAGCAGGGCGCAGCTTTGCTCCCTACTCCTGGGGCTGGGATGGGGGACCTCGCAGGCCTGATCCACCACGGAGTCTGGCCCCACCCAGGTCCTAGGGTTGTGCGACCTTGGGCAATTGCTTTGCCCTTTTTGTGGGGTAGGGCAATGATCGCTGGCAGATATTCCAGACCCCCAGCCTCCAGGACTCACACGTCACTCTGGTGTGTGTAGACTCGGTCAAATAAGGCCTCAGGTGCCATCCACTTGACAGGCAGGCGGCCCTGAATGGGAAAGGTAGGGTCATTGGCGCAGAGTCCCACAGGTCCTGGTACCCCCCAGCCCCCCTTTCCAACTCTGCCCCGCCTCCCTCACATTGCTGGTTTTCTTGTAGTAGTCAATGTGGTGGACACCACGGGCCAGCCCAAAGTCGGCAATCTTCATCACATTGTCCTCTGTCACCAGTACGTTCCGGGCAGCCAGGTCCCGGTGGATGCACTGGGGGTGGGGCAGGGGATTTAGGTTTATCAGGACACGTGGCTGGATGCTGGGCACACTGTACTTCACAGTAACCCTGGGGGGAGGCATCATCCACTCGTTTCACAGATGAAGAGGTCAAGATTCAGAGACGGAAGACTAAGAAGCTAACTTCAGCGCCCACACCCTCCCTCCCACACGGCCTCTTCCCTTGCCGCATGAGTTAGGACCTGCGAGAGGAAGGAATGGGGACATGCAGCGTCAACTGTGTACGGATGGGGGGTACAGAAGGGCTTGGGGACATTGAGACAGGGCAATGGAAAAGGGGAGAGAGGGACAAGATGAGGACATTCAATGCTGGGGGCAGGAAAGTGTACAGACGGAGCAGTGAGGATGGTCCAGAGTGCTGCCCACTGCCCATACCTTCCTCGACTCTAGATACTGCATGCCCCGGGCCACCTGGTAGGCGCAGGAAACCAGGGCAGGGAAGGAAAGCGGCCCCTCACTGCTCCTCGGCCCGTCAGGGCTGAGGTCGGGGCCTGGGGGCCGCCGGGCCCGTAGGAACTCCCGCAGGTTTCCCTTGGCGGCACATTCCACGATCACGTACAGGGGCCCTGTAGAGGTGAAGGGGACAGGGACGCTGCTGAGGCTGAGGCTCCACACCCCACCGTCCCTGCCCTCAGCCCCATTCCAACCCACCTTCCTGAGTACAGACACCCAGCAGATTGATAATGTTCTTATGTCGGCCAATCAGCTTCATCACCTCCATCTCAGAGACCAGGTCTGCCAAGTCCTTGTCGGAGGCATTGTCTGCAGGGACGACAGCCAGTGTATATACATGGGGGAGCTGCAGGGTCGGGGACAGGACATGGAGTGCTGGACCTGGAGTCAGAAAGGTCTGGACCTGAATCCCCGCTAGGCTGTGCGGTCTTTAAGAAAGTCTTCTAACTTCTCTGAACCTCAGGATCCTCTTGTATCAAAGGGGACAATGGATCATGCCCTACCTCTCACAACAGCTGCAAGGAAGCAACAAGATCAAGGGTCTACAAGAGGTGGGCCTCTCTGTGAGTGGGACCAGGAAACAGGAGAACTCTGAACAGGAAGAAGCTCTATCTGGAGGTTTGGCATTAGTTCCCGAATGGGGTGAGAGCTCCTGGGGCCGGGAAGCAGGCTGGCGCCCTGAGGTCGGACTGGGGCCTGGTGTGCCTCTGGCCTGAGAATTCAGGGAGCCGCCAGTGGGGTACAGCTAGGGAAGGCTGGGAAGAAGCTGCTCCAGATTCTCTTGAGAAGGCTGAGGACCAGGGGCTGACCTGTGGCTCTGGGCCAATGACATACCCTCCCTGCCAGACCTCACAATGCACATTTCTCAATCCCTGCCTCCCAGAAAGTACCAGGTGGCCCCAGCTGTGCAGAGGGGAGGGGACGGGGGAGCAGAACAGTGGTTTGGGCTGCTCTTGTAGAGGGGGTGGGGGACAGCAGTGAGAGGCTCCGATGGTAGGTCCCAGGTATGTCCTATGCACTTTTTTTTTTTAGATTTTATTTATTTATTTGAGAGAGAGAATGAGAGAGAGAGAGAGAGCACACAAGGGGGGGGAGCGGGAGAGGGAGAAGCAGACTCCCCACTGAGCAGGGAGCCCGATGCGGGGCTCGATCCTGGGACTCCAGGATCGTGACCTGAGCCAAAGGCAGTCGCTTAACCAACTGAGCCACCCAGGCGCCCTGTCCTATGCACTTTGGGGCTGGTGCTTAGACTGTTCTCCTAGAGTGGTGGACACAGGGGGACAGATCTGGGAAGGGCCCAGGGTGGGGGGGCTGAAGGTGTGACTTGGGGGTACTCAGAAGGAATGAGGTGGAAGCCTGTGAGGCTGACAAGGTTATTCAAGGCCAAGTCTGACATGGGGCTAGGGCTGAGGTGGGGGTGTCTGGCCCCAGTCACCCCAAATCCTTATAGTCATCATCATTCCACTGGTTAAGATTTTATGTATCAGGCACTTTTCACGAACCTCAGGCCAGGAGGTAGGGACTATTATTTACTCCCAGGTGACAGGTGAGCAGATCGGCTCTGAAATGGCTTGAGAGGGTTGGTAGCAGAGTTGGGCCCTAGGCCCAAGGGTGGGATCCTGCAGCCTTTCTGGCCACCAGTGTCCAATTGGTAGCACCATGAGCCTCTTCTGTTAGTCCCAAGGGCACAGCACGTCCTGCGGGGACACCACTCACCCTTGAGCATCTTGACAGCCACGGTGCTGGCTTGGTCAGGCCGGGCGGGGTCCATGCCGAAGGCCTCTGCCCGCACCACCTGCCCAAAGCAGCCCTCACCCAGCGGCTTCCCGAGCACCAGCCTGGAAATGAGAAAGCCGAGGCCTCAGCCATGGGAACGTCCTTCCTACCTGGAGCCTGCATGCCCATCCTCTCTCTATGCAGCATACCTGTCCCGGGGGAACTCCCACAGTGGGTCGAGAGGGAGGTCTAGACTCACAAGGCCAGCGAGCAAGGGAGGGCCACTGGAGGAGAGACGGGCACCCCGCACCAAGGAGGAGCTTGACTTGGCCGAAGAACCCGACTCCAGGGAGAACTGTAAGGTGGGTGACTCGGTCAGCCTGCTAGAGCTGAGCTGGGCTGGGGAAGGCAGGCCAAGAGCTTCACTAGGGGGACACGGTACAGGGTGGGGAACAGCGTGGTACCTGTCGGGCCAGAGGGAAGCGGGACAACTTCTGCACGGTGGCAGGCTGCCTGGGGTGCCGGCTGATGAGTACCTGCCCTCGATGCAGCCCGGCCAGCAGCAGGACAACCAACGCCAGAGAGCCTGACACGTACAGAATGATGTCCGTGTACCTGGCGTCCGGCGCCGCTGCTGTCCATGTGAGGTCCTCCTCTGCCCACAGACAGACACATATACGGACAGAAAATGGACCGGTCAGTGGTTAGACGGCCAGCCCTAGATCCTCTAACTCAGGCCTCACAGCTCCCAACACACACCGGGACACTCACCAAGAAAGCTGCAGTTATATCCCGCCCTGCACACCCCTAACCCAGAGGGTCACATGGCAGTCGCATGTGGACATGCACAGAAGCACTACTACGCGAGGAATCAGGCACACAAATCCGCATGCCGCGTCCCAAGCCCCACAGGCCAAGGGACATAGCCCGCTGCCGGGTCAGAGAGGGATTCCTGCAGCCTCTCCTGGCCCCCTTGAGTGCTCACCTGGCAGCACCGTGAGCCAGGCTGACTGGTAGGAGAGGCCAATGGAATTGCCCGCCAGGCAGGTGTACTCGCCCGCATCCTCAGCTGACACGTTCCGAAGGTATAGGACCTCCACCTCTGAGCTATTGATGTCTGCTGTCTGGGGATGGGGGACATACTCAGGTGTCACAACAGGGCCAGGAAGGAAGCAGGGGACCACCCCCCACCTCCACGCCCCATGGGAGGACAGTAGGGTTCAGGGGCTGGCGGGGGCTGGACCTTCAGGACTTGCACGTAGGGGAAGCCGTCGGCCCCAAAACTGCTGCCGTTGATGACGATGTGCTTCAGCCACTGGATGTGGGGCTGGGCGTCGCTGTATACCTTGCACAGCAGCTCGACGTCGCTGCCGGCCACAGCTGTGGTGTTGGCCGGGAGCCCCGCCTGCAGGATGGGCCGGTGCGGGGACCGCTCTGGGGGCCGGGCCAGGCGGTCAACCCTGACCAGTGGCACCCACAGAAGCACCCTGGTCACCCGCCTCCAGCAAACCACCCCCCCCCCCCCGCCTCAGCTCAAGGGAGGGAACTTCCTGATATGCAACTCAGACCTCGTCCGCCCCTGCTTACCCTGCTGAAACCTTCCATAGCTCCCCATTGCCTTTGGAGTCAAGGGCAGCTTCATAGTCTAGCATTCAAAACCCTCCACACGCATGGCTCCCCGCTTAAATGCCACAACCCAGGCGTACACCTCTTCACAAATGCATTGTATTCGTTACACCTAGGACCTTGATTCAGCCTGGGCCCTCTGCCTGGATGTCTCTCCCACTTTTTCTCTCAGCTGACCCCTGTTCCTCCAGGCCAACATTACCCCCCGTGCTTCCCTCCCCCCCGAGGGGACACCTAGGGCAGCTTGAGCCATCCAAGACTGAGTCCGTCTTGCCTGCCAGACTGGGCGCTACCTGGGGGCAGTGTCAGGGCTCCCACCCCCAGACCGCCTTGCCTGCCCGTGCGCTCACCCAGCACATCCAGCAGATAGCTATAGCGGATGCTGCCCATAGAGTTCTCCACGAGGCAAGTGTATGTGCCACGGTCCGAGGGCACCACACTTTCCATCACCAGGCTCCAGTGCTGGTGGCGCAGCTGGGGGCAGGGGAAGCATCTGTGAGTGGCCATCCACCTGTGCCCTCCCAGGGGTCCAGGGCATGAAGAGGCTAGATCCCGCCCACAGGGGTCTTCTCAAGCTCTCCAGGCCCTGGGGAGGCCAGGCGAAGGCCAAGGAGTGTCTGAACCCTTGGTTTGAGCCTTTGAGTTTTAGCATGGCCTCTTCCTGGCTGTACCACCGTGAGCCAATTTTTGCCCTCTCGGAGTCTCAGCTTCCTCACTGCAACCTGGAGCTGACCCTGCAGGGTCTTCCCATGAGAATTAGCTGCTCAAACTCCCTACCTGCCAGTCAGTGAGCCTTCCCACTTTACAAGGAAAGCTAAGGCTGAGAGATTAAGTCACTGGCGGGAGAGTGGCAGAGTGGGGACCCGAATCAGAGCTGTCCCAGTCTGCCGTCTAGTGCTCCTTCTAAGGCCCGTGGCTGCCTTCCTCATTAGAGAAGGAATGACTTCGAGGTCTGAGCAGACCGATGGGGGAGTGAAAATGGAGGAGCGGATGGTCTTAGAACCTAGAGACTCACCCGAATGCCTCCAATGCGATGCTCCCCATGGAAGTCCTGTCCATCCTTGAGCCAGCGGATGGTGGGCGTGGGGTTGCCTGCAGCTGGACAGCGGAACTTGACAGTGTTCCCGGCAGGCACTGCATGCAGTTTCTTCTCCATGCGCTGAGGGTGTGTCCAGTAGGGTGCTGAAGGGGAGGGGAAAGGAGAACTCAGTGCCCCCAGGATGACCACCTGTTTCCACACAGGTCTCTTCTTCTCAGTGACCAGCTGGGAGGTAGGGAACTGAGTCCCTGAGGACTCATACTGACCTTGGTGGGGGTAAATGTGCCCATTCAAGGGGCCCCCGTGGGCTTTAGGGTCCTCATTACCATTGCTGGAGGGCAAGGAGTCTATGTCAGGGATAAAGAGAGATGTCTGAGGTCTAGGATGGGGAGGGTCCCTCTCCCCAGGCACCCTTTAGCCGCTGCTAGGCCCCCTTACCATCCACAACCAAGGTAACATTGCGCAGGACAAGCATGGAGCCTCGTGCCAGGCAGAGGTAGCTGCCAGCATCCTCCGGTAGGAAGCTGGCAATCTCCAAGCGGCCCCTCCAGCCTCGTACCCGGCCAGCAGGTGGTAGGCGACTGCCCTCCTTGTACCAGTGGCCACCACGCTCAGCCCGGCCACAGCACAGCCGCATAGGCTGCCCAAGGGCCACGGTCAGCTCCTGCTCTCGCTGCTCTGGGCTGGGGGCCAGGCAGGGCTCTGTGGGCCAAGGGCAGAGGTCAGTGAGCCCCCCACAGCCCCAGCCGAGGGAGCCCCCTGCGTACGGAGAACATGCTGCACAGGCCGGGCACATGCTGGACAGCTGCTCCTCAACATACACACATCATCACATGCTACAGACGCTGTGTGTGAGGCAGTCGCCACGCCTCTGTGTGCATCACACACACGGTGCAGAGCATACATGCCGGGCTGGGCATGCCATTGCCACCCCCCCATGCTATCGGTGCCACCTCCAGGGCACAGCACACTCACGCTGCATACACCACACATGCTGCTAGGCCTCCCAAACCACACACCTGGTGCACAGAACACACACACACACACACGGCCAGGAGCTCACCACCAGCTCTGCAGCCCAGCTCAGGACCCTTCACCCTGCAAGGCCATTCCTCTCTTGTGGACATAGAGATAGGTGGATGCTTGCTGGGAGCCAGACACTGAGTCTCAGTGCTTGAGTCCTGCCCTGCTGTCACCTCCTCAGGGACTGGGCCAGGTCCTTTCCAGCTTTGCTCAGCTAGGAGCCCCCTCCAGGTTGCCCTCCCCTGCCACCTGCTCCCACCTTAAAGGCCATACCTAGCTCCATTTCCTCAGAGGCTTCAAGGGACAAAGCTGGAGCCCCAGGCACCCCCACCAGGACCCCCAGCAGGGCCAACAGCAGCCACATATCCTTCCTGCTGCTCACAAGGCCCCAGGCGGGGCTTACCACCGACTGCCTTCCTGCAAAGGAGGGAGAAGAACTCCTGCTAGGCATGCACCTTTGGTGGTGCTATTCCCCTATTTTGCAGATGAAGAAACTGAGACCGGAAGGTCAGAGGACTTGTCCAAACCCCCCACCCCCCCGCCCACGCAGCAGCACGGCAGAGACTGGAAGAGGCTCTGCTGTTGCCAGAGCCCAAAGCTTCTTCACAGTGCAGGGGGGGCAGGGCCGGGCTTCCTGCTCTCCTCCGGTCCTGCTGAGACCCTGGCACAAGTTCACAGAAAGGGCAGTTTGGGGATTCTTTCCTTGGAGGAAAGCAGAGAACGGAGACATATCTTCTGCTTGCTCTCAGCACACATAATTTATTTTTTGCTGAATAAATGAATTTATTGCTGAAGAACCAAAAAAAAAAAAAAAAAAAAAAAAAGAAATCTAATACAAGGCCAGACTTGAGCATCTGGATGTTATCTGAGCTGACCCGCACGTCTAGCATCGCTGACATTTTCATGGCCAGCTTTGAATACCTTCAGCGGCAGAGCGCTCACTCCTAACAAAGCAGCCCATTCCATAGCGAGCAGAAGTTCCTCCTCATTCTGAACCAGAATGGCATGCTGGGAATACATCTGCTTTTTGTGTCCTCACAACTCTGTTTGAGGCAACGGGCTCTATGTCCAACAAAGCCAAGTTCTAATCCTGACTCTTACCCACTTGCAAGTCCCCGTCCCTCTCGGGGTGCTGTCCTCCGAGGGCTGCTTTGAGGATAAAAGAGACCATATATGTAGGGGTTGGGAACACAGAATGTTGGCATGTTCTTCCCCTCCCTCCCCGTGACTCTCACCCTGGGTCTGCCTTTGGCCAATTACCTCTGATTCTGGTGCGGTTCCTGCCAGGTATGATGTACACACCCACCCTATCCATATGCCAATAAGGATGTCTCCATCTCCCAAAGGAACACTCAAAACAGCCTCAGCTGGGGCAGGGGAGGAGGTGACCAATGTAGTCCCAGGGGACTACTGGCTATTACCTGGGGCTTCATAAGTCAGGAGGCACTGATGTCTACGAATCTATCTTGCCCAGGAAGCTCACTGCACCCTCTCTCTTCAGCCACTGCCCCCTTTCAGCTCTGGCTGAGGCAGGGGGCACTTAGCTTGTCCTGACCAAAACCATCACCTCCCCCATCCAACTGTTCGTTCCCTGGGTTGCCCCCACAGGTGGGGCATCATCTCTTCCCATCTGCCTTCACCCCTCCTCTACTTCCAGTCCCATCTGCCTCCTCAATCCTTCTCCAGTCCATCTCACCTCCCTTGCTTGGACCCAAGGCAGGCCATGGTCATCTCTAGCTTGGGTCTTTGCAAACATCTCCCTTGGCTCTCCAGCCTCCACTCCCCAGCAGGGCTTTAGAAATTACAAGTATCTGCCATGTCACCACCCCATATCCCCAGCTTTCAAGCCCTTAATGGCTACCCATGTCCAGCAGGATCCAATCCACAGTTCATCCAGCATTCTAGGCCTCCCTCCCTGCCCTTGTCAATATGTTTAGTTGCACGGTCAGCTCCTTCAACCTCTTCAGCAGGAAAGCCATTGGCTTTCAAAACTGGGCATGTCTTCTCTCTTGCACATACATACCTCTGTGTCCCCATTTCTCTTCTCCACCCGACTCAGATGCCACTGTCCCTGCACCCACCCCCAGTTTCCATGGCCCTCCTCCATAGAATCCCCCCACCCTGCTCTGCTCTGCAGGGAGAGCAGCCCTCTGGGTCCACAGCTCCAGTTGGGAGAGGGGCGGAGGCCTGGGGATTTTATTCCCATTCCTAGGCTGCCCCGACCTTGTAACCTCAGGACCCTTCCTCGGATCACACGCGGCCGCAGACAGAGCGACCCACCGCCTTGCTCAGGGGCTGAAGGGCCTGCCTCTGGCATCAGACAGTCCTGGGTTCTCCTCCAACCTCCCGCACTCAAGCGTTGGGGGACCCTGGGCAAATGACCGCACCTCTCGGATCCTCAGCTTCCTCATCTCTACTCGGGCCGCGCAGACGGTCCAGCAGCCGAGGGACCAGCGCGCTCTTCTTCCTCCACCCTTACCCTGCCACCCTGGGGGGAGGTGCGAGTCGGCAGGTCCGGAGGGGGAGCTGCAGAGACAGCCGGCCCGCCCCCGCCCGGGTGGGCAATGAGTAACCAGCTCCACCGCCAGGGTGCTCTTTGGACGGAGCGGGACAAAAGGCCCTGTGTGCGCTGCGGGTTACTGATTTACCGTCTCCTCCACCCCCCTTCCGAGAGGACGCCCAGGTCCCCAGTACTGGGAGGGGGCAGCTCCCTGATACCCGCTGCCGCTCGCCCTCTGGCGGCGGGGAGCGCAGCCTGGGCCAGCAAGGGGTCCCGGCTCACCTCGAGCCTCTGTGGTCCCGCTCCAGGCACAGGGTCCCGGCTCACCTGGGTCCTCCGCGGCCCTGCTCCCAGCTCCGGCCGGTCCCGACACCCGCGCCCAGCGGGGACCGCAGACTCAGCCGGGGCGCTCCTCCGCCCCGGGCCAGAGAGCCAGGAATGCACCCGCGACAGCGGGGTGGCCGCGGGAGGCCCAGCGCCACGCCCACCTCGGGCCCCGCCCCTCCTGGACCAGCTCTATCCTGACAGCGGCTTGGCGGGGGACAACCCAGCGCCCCGCCCACCTCCGGCCCGGCCCCTCCTGGACCAGATCTATCAAGAAAACCACGACGCAGCGAGCAGCACAGCGTCCCGCCCACCTGGAGACTAGTCCCCAGACCCAACAGAGCCGAGTGTCCCACTGGGTCAGCCCAATCCCGGGGCCCCTCCCCGGCCTGCTACACACCCCATCAGACTCCGCCTCTTTTGCCGCACCCAAACCAGGCTTCCAAGTTTTAGTTATTTGCGTTATCCTGTGCCCTTCACCCCTTTTAGGGAGCAACACCCAACAGTCCTGACCGGCCAGCCTCCACAGACCTTGGCCCAACCTGGCTACTCTGTCTTCTGTCACCACACAATGGCTAGGAGATCCCTTCTGCCTCCAACCACTCCCATCCATTCTCTGCCCAACCTTTAGAGTGATATATTTGAAATACAAATCTGGGGGCGCCTGGCTGGCTCAGTTGTTGGAGCATGCCACTCTTGATTTTGGGCTTGTGAGTTTGAACCCCACGTTGGGTGTAGAGATTACTTAAAAATAAAATCTTTTTTTTTTTAAAGATTTTATTTATTTGAGAGAGAGAGAATGAGATACAGAGCACGAGAGGGAAGAGGGTCAGAGGGAGAAGCAGACCCCCAGCTGAGCAGGGAGCCTGACGTGGGAATCATCCCAGGACTCCAGGATCATGACCTGAGCCGAAGGCAGTTGCTTAACCACCTGAGCCACCCAGGCGCCAATAAAATCTTTTTTTTAAAAAAAGATTTTATTTATTCGAGGGGGGAGGGGCAGAGGGAGAGGGACAAGCAGACTCCTCGCTGAGCAGGGAGCCCAAGGTCCGGCTGGATCCAGGAACCCTGAGATCATGGCCTGAGCCAAGTCAGACACTTAACCAACTGAGCCATCCAGGTGCCCCTTAAAAATAAAATCTCAAAAAAAGAAAGAAAGAAAAGAAAAGGAAAGAAATACAAATCTGAATGCTTTAAGACTTTCCACTAGTTTCCCATAATGATTCTTGGCATGACTGGCCCCTGGCCACATCTCCAGACAAATCCTTCATTTCTTTCCTTGCTCCCACTCTACCTCTGGGACTTTGCACATACGGTTCCCTCTTCCTGGAATGATTTTCCCCTAGGTCTGGTTGGTTCCATCTCATTCTTAAATGTCAGCGCACTTCCTCAGAGAAGCCCTCTGGACCTGTCAGGTTCCTCTTAGATGCCTTCTGTCCTGTGAGCATGGAGAAAGAAGCAGGAAGTGAAGTGATTCAAAGCACAGATTTCAGGACTCAAATCTCAACGTCATCACACTTGGAGTAAACTTGGCAGGGTGGTCCATCTCTGTGTTTTCATTTTCTCATCAGTAAAGTAAGTATAATGATAGATAGTATCTTCCTCATGAAGTTTTTGCAAAGAGTAAACACGTGTAAGCCTGTAGAACACTGCCTGGTATATGGCACTTGCTTTGTAATGTTAACTATGATTATTTAGGACCTGCTATTTCTTCATCTTCATGGAACATTCCAGAACTGTAACTAAACAGTTGTGTACATAGAAGGCAGGAACTGCCTACAGACTTCAACATTGTATCCCAAGTGCCTGGCACACAGTAGGTACCCCCAAATAGTTCTGCCCCACTTTGCTCAGGTCTGCCTCATTTGCAAGCGTCTCTCCCCTTGAGCAACTAGACAGTGGTCGAACTAGGAGGGCAGCTCACCTTTGACCTCTGCCCGAGCCTCACCTGAAGTCTAAGCCCCCCACTCTTCAGTTGGCTTCTTGAAGAGAAAGGAAACCCCTAAGCTGGGGTCTCAGACTCATCTCCCGGTGCCCCTCTGGCTGGTGGAAACCCTGCCCTAAGGGAGGCAGCTTCCTTTCTTATTGTTATGCAGAGGAGTCTAGCTCTCTCCACCCTTACTCCCTATGGGATAGAGGCTTTTCCTTTGCATAACTAAAAAAGCCCAATAAAGTGATTTTTTTTCCTTCTCAAACAAAATAATGGTCTCCTCCCAAAGATAAATCAGAAAACAATTGGCTATCTTTTAAAACCAGCTGGTTCTGATTCCCCTTATTCAGGGTCCTTCCTTGCTGGAGCACCTGGAAAAGTTGAGGCTCCTGGCACTGGGGGAGCCCAGCAAATGGAAGCCTCCAGCCCAGAGAGGCCTCACCGGACCTCCTGGACTCCTGGAGAGATCCAGCTCCCCACCTCTGGTCCTCTGCTGGCTCCCCTTAGTGAATGCGGTTGTTGAGGGGTAGGGTGAGCTGCCAGCAGGGGCTGGACCCCACACAGCTTTCATTCAACTTCCAGGCACTTCTCAGGTTTACCTGAGCCAAAGGCAAAGGAAAGGCTTTCATAGCCCAGGCTGCACAAACTCCCTGCCTCCTGAGATGCCCAAAGTCCTTGACTGGCAACCATATACCTCCCACCCCCCACGTCTGCACATCCCTTGTCCACCTCCCATCCCACACTCATGACCTCTCACACTGACCCTCTGTGGCATCTGATGCTCTTTCACGTTATTCATTCATATACACATTCATTTGCCAGGTGTCAATTAAAGGTTCATTATGTGGTATGCACCGTTCTGAATCGTGGGGATAAAGCAGTCATCTGACCCAGCCCCTCCCCTTCAAGGAGCTGCTGACATTGTAGTGGGGGGAGATGGGTAAGTAAACAGCACAGAAGGAGACATGCTGAGGAAGTCTGCAAGAGGCATCCAAGCCTGTCTCCCCATCATGGTCTCACTCTCTTGGTAACCATCTTCCCCACCAGTTACATTCGCAGTCTCTCTCTCAAAACCTTTCAAACACGACCTCTCTCCACTCTCTCCCTCTCTCTCTCTTTCACACAAACACACACCCCTAGCAGGGGCTCAGGGGCTCAGGAACCTGCCATCCTAAAATCCTGCCTTTAGCCTGCCTCTGCCTCAGTTTCTCTATCCAGAAAATGGGCACACTCCTGCTTCCTTTTCCCCAGGGATGTTGGAGGAAGTGAATGAGTTAAGAGATGGGACTGGGTTTCAGCAGAACAGGAAGCAGGGAGGAAGTTCTTTGCCTTGGCTGAGCTCCCACTGTCTGCCAAGTGACATGCTAAGCTAGGTGTTACATATGCATTATATCCTTTGATCCTCCCCCCAAACCAAATGTGGTTAGAATCCTTAGCTCCATTTTGCAGGTAAGGAAACAGAAGCTCAGGCAGATGGAATGACTTGTCTAAAGGGCGATTGGCTGGCTTAGTCTTAGTAACTCTTAGCCTTAGTAACTCTTAGCCTTAGTAACTCTTGATCTCAGGGTCATGAGTTCAAGCCGCACGTTGGGCATAGAGCTTACGTAAAAAAATAAAGTCACAGAACTGAGCCTTGAGCCTTGATCTTCTGGGACAAAGAGGGAAAGCTCAAGGTGACTCTCCACAGAGTTGGGATTTCTGATGCTACTGCATCAGCCTGCTTTCTACCCCCATCCTTAACTTCAGCCCAGGAAGGTGCAGACTCACCCAAAGGTGAGGCACTGGGCACTGCTCTCCCTGCCCATTTGGCTAGTACTGATGGGGCACCTATGAAGTACCAGGCCCTAGGCAGAGGTTTGCAGACTCTGGGTTCCTGAAGTGCAAGGCTGGGACAGGAGGGACTCCTGAGGCCAGGCCCTGCCCCCCACCTGCCTGAGAGCAGAGTTGGGGGGAGGGGACAGGCATTGCCTGGTGCCGACCATGTTGCTCTTGGATGGCAGCCGGGCCCAGGGAACACTGGGGCTCTTGTGCGGAACGACTGCCCTGAGCCCCTGCCCAGGCCCCATTCCAGCCCAGGCCTGGCCCAAGCCCTGGCCTCTGAGCCAGCCGTGTGCTTTCTTGCCTTCTTTCCTTTAAAATGATTTTTATTTTGAGAAAAATTTAAAATATATATATAAAAAATGCACAGGGTAATATCATATACTTGCTACTCAGAACTGACAATTGTTATTACTTTTTCACCTTTTCTAACCCCTTTCACCCTGGCTTCTCCCACGGACTCCAGGGAGGTCTGGCTGGGCTTGTCAACACAGAGGTGATGCT